ACAAAAACAATATAGCCACATCAGTTAGGATTAGTTTCAGATGTATGTAATGGAAACGCAGTAAACATAACAATAGCTAAATAGGTTAGTTTCTCCTTTATGTGAAACAGGCTGGACAGCAGACATTTCAAAACCACAGGGAAAATCTCTGGTATCATCATAAATCTAGGTTCCTAGCTTTCTGTCATATTATCACATGTCTTCAACCCTCAGAGATACCTCATGATCCCTTGGAGATCCAACCATCATGTCTTCTCTATAGGCATGAAGAAGGAGAAAAGGTAGAAAAACAAAAGGGGCTCCCTCTTAAATGTGTTCATTCAATTTAGAAGCCTCCATGGAATTTCCACTTGATACATTTGCTCACATATTGCTGCCTAAAAGTTAACCTCATGGCCTTGGCTAGATATAAGGAAGCTATAATCGAAATTTTTACTCTGGGTAGTAATCCATCCATGGGAAACTAGCATTCTATACCCGAGGAGAAAGAGGAGACGTATGATAATAGCCATTGTGATACAATAGTCATCTGACAAATTGAAGTTGAACAAAGTTTAAGATTCTTTCCAGCCCTTTCCAGAATGAGAGATTTAAGAATTATAAGAAAATTAACAAACCAGAATTGAAATTCAGCGACATTATGCCAGAATCAAACTGGTAACCTAGTAATTTGGCATTTACCCTGATTCATAAAAAAGTTAGAAACATAGGGAGTATTTGTAATGTCTAAGAAACACTGACCTTGAAATTACTTTCCTCCCTCTTTGTGTGTTCCTTTATGATTCCTTAAAGGCAATGCTCATGGTGCAGTGGTGCATGTGTGTAATCTCAGGTACTTGGGAGACTGAGGCAGGAGGATCACTACTTCAAAGTCAGCCTAGGCAACTTATGGATATCCTGTCTCAAAATTTTAAAAAGGTTGAGGGTGTAGCTCAGTGGTGAAGCATCCCTGAGTTCAATCCCTAGTACCAGGAAAAAATTGGTAATGCTCACAATTTTCCAGTCCTGCTTTCCATGATCCTTTCCTTGCCTTGTATTGGGTCATGTAGCACTGTGTCAACCCATTGTAAATATCACATTTGCAAGTATAAGAACAAAATCCATGAAACTTCACCTTTCCATATTGTCAGACAATAAGCCACCATTATTTTTAAATTTGTACTTACATACTATAATATTTTGCATTTAATCACTGTCACATTTTAGTGACAGGAAGTAAAGCTGGGGACAACAATTGGTATTGTGTATTTCAACCTGAAATAGTGTCCACAGACAGGATATTGCCTGGATCCATATAGCCTTCAGTGATTCATAACTCAATGATCTTAATGTGCCAGTTGACCTTCCAGACAGTTCAGTAATCATGGTTTTGTACTGTACTTCCTTAAAATCTAAAGCAAGTTAGATTTCATCCAAGCAAAGGGAAATAAGCACTACACTTAAAGGAAGTATCCATTTTAGATGGTTTTGACAACCTGCTCCTAGTAGCCTTTTCAGAAAATTCTTGCTCCTCCCAATAATACTCTGTTTATCTTCCTCAGAAATAATAGAGAGTTTGGACTTGACTATTAGTATTGCTTGTTATATCCTCTTCTCCTTTCTCAAGAGTTTGTCATGTTTCTCCAAGTGAATTGTAAGCAATTTCATGATAAGCCTAGGTCTTTATTTTATTTTTGGTCAATAACACCATAACCTTTCTTCCTTTTTTTCGTTTCCCTTTTGATAGGCCTTAGATGCTATCCAATGTCTCAGTATCAACTGAACTGACACTTGACCATGCTAAGTAGATGCCTTCTTTTTTATCTTCTATCATAGTTCTCTGCTGCCACCATATTCATCTTAGAACTTAGCACAATTTGAAGTAAATAAATCCAATAAATTCCCCCCACAGGAATGTCTCAGTTTCAACTACTACTCCCTAGCCCTCATAATCCTAGGCTTTTCCACTGACTAAGCTTGTGACCTTTGTCGACTTAACCTCTCAGAAACTGTTTTCCCATTTCTATAATGGAGTTTTTACTCACCTTTAGTACTGAGGTTACAATGAGATACTCACTTAAAAACAGTACCTACTACAGAGTTTAGAACATTGCGGAGGATCAATGAGTCTACCTCTCTGATCCCTGATCCACACACCACTCAAAAAAATGACCTGAGAATCATGCCTCTGAGTCTTATCCTCTGAGAATTTGATCATCCTAGTTAGTTTGTCACCCCTGCTACATAATGTATTTGTATTTTAAATGAAGTGTTTTAAATAGATTTTAAATGAAATCCCTCCACAAGAATGTCTGTTTCAACTGAAGTGACACTTGACCATGCTAAATAGATTCCTTCTTTTTTATCTTCGATCATGGTTCCCTGCTGCCACCATATTCATCTTAGCACTTAGCACAATTTGAAGTAAAGTAATTCAGTGTTCCTTTGCTTGTTTATTTCTTTTGCCCTTAAGCATGGGCTATACATTCAAGGACAAAGCCTATACCAAATCACCAATGAATTTTTAGAACCCAGCAGAGTGCTTAACACAGAAAAGATGAAAAGTGTGTTTTGGATAGATTGGTAGGTGAATGAATAGATGGACGTTTGTAATAAGTGGGAAAATAATTGAACAAAAACATTATAGCGAAAATTTCAGGCTTAGTACACAGGTAGTAGTAGAGAAATATTTGGGGGCACACAGGCTATTTGCCACCTCAGATTTTATGGAGATAGATTTCTTGAAGAGGAAGAATTAAGGAAAGGGTTGTCTGAGTGGAACAAATAGATTTATATATATAACAGGAAAGTTGTTAAAAATGTGCTAAGAGGATATTGTATTTGAAACCATAGGAACTCCTAAAATATTGTTTGTCATCAAATTCTTTTCATATAAAAATATTAGAAGAGGCCTGAAGTATACTACATTCTCCTCTTTCTTTTGTCTTCTCTGCACAGAATGTAGCATTAAGGCCCAGTTGCTTGGACCCTCATACTCTAGCAAGAGTCCTTAGCTTCTGAAGTGAAAAATACTCTGCCACCAAACTGTCACGGCTGAGGAATCAGAAAACAAGTTAGGTTTTTGAGCTGTCAGGTTGAAAAGGATTTGCAAGCCCCTTCCTACCTACTCTGTGCTATGAAGATAGATTTCCAGAGGTTTGAGAGAGATTTGTACTATGGCTTTGAGGTTTACAAAATGCCACCATCTGAGGAATTTGAATTATTCTTCCCCTGTATTTCATTTGTAATGTACCTTTGCCAGCATAAAGAGTATTGAAAGGGCATTTGAACAGTAATAAGGCCCTTAACACTTATGAGCAGCAATTTCCCTTGAAATGAAGTTGTACTGAAGGGAAATAACCAGTAGCAAACTGGGTTAACCCCTTGTCTTCCAAAATGTAATACCACATGGATTGCATCTTTCAGGAAAGAACCCGAGTATGGTTCTTTCCTGAAAGATATAAAATTTAGGATTTTCAGTTAACAATTTTTGATCAATCCCTTTCTCTCCTACCCCCTACTCATAGTAAGGGAAAAATAATTCACTCAAAAACCTCAAATTATAGAACCCCCTGGAGTGGGTTTTATTCCAAGCTCTATGTTTTCACAGTGAGCCTTCTGAAAAGTCACTTAGCCTCTCTGAATCATAGTTTTCTGAAATGTAAATTGAGAACAATACAAACAGCTACTAAATAGAATTTTTGCAAATGATTTAAATCACCATCTCTGAAAATACATAGCATGATCCTGGCATATTGTTAGCATTTCACAAATGTTAGCTACATTACTGCTAACCTAACCAAATACTTCTAAGTAGAGTTACTCAGGTTCCTAGACTACTTACCTTAACATCCTAACTTGTTAGATAGAGGCTGATTTCTAATTGGCATTTACTTATGAGCATACCTAAAAATTGCTTGTAGGACTGGGCACGGTGGCACACACCTGTAATCCCAGTGCTTCGGGAGGCTGAGGCAAGAGGATCATGAGTTCAAAGCCAGCCTCAGCAAAAACAAGGCCCGAAGCAACTCAGTGAGACCAAATAAAATACAAAATGGGGCTAGGAATGTGGCTCAGTGATTGACTGCCCCTGAGTTCAATCCCTGGTACAAAAAAAGAAAAAAAGAAAGTGTTTGTAGTGCTATGGATGTGGCTCAGTAGCAAAGCAGTTGCCTGGCATGTGTGAGGCCCTAGATTTGATCCTTAGCACATTAAAAAGTGCTTAAAATTTTGTCTTTTTGTGAATACCATTCTTCATTTGCTTTTTTTAAATAGAAGGAAAGAAAACTTCATTTTTCCAACAATGGTAGTATTACCGCAAATTGCAGTTAACAATGTTTTACCATATTTTGATTTTTAAAAGTAATTCTGGGCATTCAAACTTCCAAAATGTTTTATTAATGGTTTCTTACTCATATGCAAACAAGAATTTTCTTGAAAGAAGTTTACAGACTATAGGTAAAAACTTGACACTCAGCCAAGACTTAATTCAGAGTCAATAAAGTAATACCCTTATGCCTAGGTAGACGTGTAAATTTTCTCCACATGATAAATAAGCAGACTGTGATTTCTATCAAATCAATTTTGGCTTGAGTCAGTCCTTCTCTAATCAATAAATCTGGATGTGCATTGAAATATGTAGTCAATATATGCAGTGTTACATTCACTTTAAACTCCTTCATCAAAAGTACATAGCAATTTTTCTATTATTGCAATAAATTCAAAATACCAGGCTTTTTCTTTTTCTTTTAACTACCACTTTAAAGGGACAATAAGTTTCTGGGTCCTGAAAAAGCTCTTGCTTACATATGCTTAGAAATCCACATAGATTCTCTGACTCAATCAATGCAGTAGCTACAATTACATTGAAACTGCACTATAAAGTAGAAATGGGTATGAGGTAATATTAGTGAAAATTGTGGTATTTCAAAGTTATTGCTGGTATGTAGAGTTTTTATTAGGAATTTTAAGAAGTTGGAGGGTTAGGGTCAGAGAGACACATCGATATGCTTGGATTCTACCTGCTGAGAGGCTCCTGGCGAAATTCCACTGAAGAGAGACCGGCCGGCAATTGGTAGGATTTTTGGAGGTGACAGTTTGCCCCAGACGAGTGAATCTCCGCCACGTGGCACAGAGGTCCGGACCCGCCAGCCGCTGCCCACGTGACTCGGTGACCGCCCGCCCGTGGCCCCCGCAACTGGGCGGCTAACCCCCGAGGCGCAGCTCAGCAGGAGCGGTGCAGGGACTCTAGGAAGAGGTCTCTAGCCAGGCCTTCATGAAATAGCAAACCGGGAGCTGAAAACCAACCAGAGACAGAACAGTCCCACCCCTCCCTTCGGACACTCCGGCAAGGAGCCTGGGGCCTGCCATAGCAGAGAGGTGACATCACCGGAGTTCGGCCAACGGAATTCCTTCCCAGCGGAATCCACTTTAGCAGGTGTGTGACTCCCACCCCCTCCAGATACAAGCAGCCAGGAAACCTCAGGAATCTCCCTGGGGGCATGTCTGTAGGGAAGCAGAGGGGATTCCCGATCCCCAACTACCCTTACCACCAGCGGTGACACCCAAGGTCTTAGCCGCCAGTTTCCGGGGGCATGCCCAACAAAGGGGTCCGGAAAAATTAAACTGTTGGTCCCCAGATCACCGCACCACAGCACTGGGGCTTAGATGAATGACGGAGAGAGTGCTCAGTCGTTCGGGAAATAGGACACGCGGTGGGGCTGCAAGTGTAACCAGATCTTTGGGGAACCGCCTCCGGTGAAAAGGACCTGGCTGGATGCCTGGCAGGAGGAAGGGGGGGAGGGGCCAGAGAAGTGAAACGGCTCTGGACTAACAGGATTGAGAGACTCCCAGGAGCCGCCTTACAGGGATTGCTATCGGCACATAGAGGGCAGAAGCTCGGCTCGGAGGGCACAGCTCCGCCAACTGGAAGAGAAGAAAATGGATCTCTAAGACTTCAATTTTTTTTCTTTTTTCTCTCTTTGTTCTTTTCTCCCCTATTCCTTCTTTCTTTCTTTCCTGTTTCAAGTTTTATTGTTCTTTCCATTCTCCTCTAATCTATCTATCTCTCCTTCTTTCTTTTTAAGAGCACCTTCCTTCCCCTACCCCCCAACTTTCATCCCAAGCATTATATCTTCCATTAAGTGTAATTGTCTAAATGCAAATAGGTGAATGTTTTGAGGCTATCTATAGGGCTCCTAAATACCTAGCTACTACCAACACCCTGATCCCCCTTCAGTAGAGCAATCTTCTAAAGTAGCCAAGACATACTAACCCTCATACCATCATAGCACCTAACCTAAACACATAGTCCTAAGAACAGACAACAAATCACTATATGCATACAGAATCTGGAAGCCTTTTATGAATTGAATGTATCAGCCTTAAAGTACAATAAAGCCCAACATTTCAAGGCATAGTCTCCCATCACAAAGGAGAGACAACAGAGATATACACAACCAAAACAAATTTGTAGGAGAAAGCAGAAACACAGCAGTCAAACAGAGCTGGAAAGTAACGTGAACAACATGAAAAAAACAAGGGAAAAAAGGATTACAAACAATGCAGGACAACTTAAATCTACAGGAGGACCTAGAGGCATCAGAAAAATGGACAGAGAAAGAACTCAAGGCATACCTAACTGAGATGGAACAGAATATTAGAGAAGACATGTGACAGCGAGTCCAAGCAATGAAAGTATATTTTGAAAATAAATTAAACAAACAAATTCAAATGGTAAAGAACGAGCTCTACCAGGAGATAGAGATTTTCAAAAAATAAAAATAAAACAGTATTCCTAGAAATGCAGGAAACCATAAATCAAATTAAAAACTCAAACGAGAATATTACAAATAGACTAGATCAAGTAGAAGTCAGAACATCAGATAATGAAGACAAAGTTTATCAACTTGAAAAGAATATAGTCAACACAGAAAGAATGCTTAAAACTCATGAGCAATCTATCCAACAGATATGGGATGTCATAAAAAAACCAAACTTGAGAGTCATCGGGATAGAAGAAGGTATGGAGGTTCAAACCAAAGGAATGGACAACCTATTAAATGAAATAATCCTAGAAAACTTCCCAGATATGAAAGATGGAATGGATTGCCAAATCCTGGAAGCCTACAAGACCGAAAACATTCAAAACCGTAATAGACCAACTCCAAGACACATAATTATGAAGATATCCAACATACAGAACAAGGAAAGAATATTAAGAGCTACAAGAGAAAGGAGGCAGATTACATTCAGGGGTAAACCAATTAGGTTAACGGCTGATTTTTCATCACAGACGTTGAAAGTGAGAAGATCCTGGAACAACGTATTTCAAACGCTGAAAAATAATGGATTCCGACCAAGAATACTGTATCCAGCAAAATTAAGCTTCATATTTGACAATGAAATTAAAATATTTCACGATAAACAAAAGTTAAAAAAATTCACAGCCAGAAAACCAGCACTGCAAGGCATTTTGGCCAAAATACTACAAGAAGAGGAATTGAAAAATAGCACCCAAAACTAACAGTGGGAGGTAACTCAGTAAAGGGGGAGAAAAATAACCAAAGAGGAAAAACTAGCCAAACTAAAATAAATAAATAAATAAACATGACTGGAAGTACAAACCATATTTCAATAGTAACCTTAAATGTTAATGGCTTAAATTCACCACTCAACAGACATAGGCTAGTAACCTGGATTAAACAAAACAAATCCAACAATATTCTGCCTTCAGGAGACGCATATGATAGGAAAAGACATACACAGGCTGAAGGTGAAAGGTTGGGAAAAATCATACCACTCACATGGCCCTCGGAAGCAAGCAGGAGTGGCCATACTCATATCGAATAAAACCAACTTCAAACCTAAGTTAATCAAAAGGGATAAAGAAGGACACTATATACTGTTAAAAGGAACCATCCACCAACAAGACATAACAATTATCAATATGTATGCACCAAATAATGGTGCTGCAACGTACATAAAACAAACTCTCCTCAAGTTCAAGAGTCAAATAGAAAACAACACAATAATTATGGGTGACTTCAACACACCGCTTTCTCCATTGGACGGATCCTCCAGACAAAAGCTGAATAAAGAAACTATAGAACTCAATAACACAATCAATAACCTAGACTTAACCAACATATATAGAATATATCAACCATCATCAAGTGGATTCACGTTCTTCTCAGCAGCACGTGGTTCTTACTCAAAGATAGACCATATACTATGCCATAGGGCAACTCTTAGTAAATATAAAGGTGTGGAGATAATACCATGCACCATATCTGATCATAATGGAATGAAACTGGAAATCAATGATAAAAAAAGGAAGGAAAAATCCTGCATCACCTGGAAAATGAACAATATGTTACTGAATGATCAATGGGTTACAGAGGACATAAAGGAGGAAATCAAAAAATTCTTAGAGCTACACGACAATACAGACACAACATACCAGAATCTATGGGACACAATGAAAGCAGTTTTAAGAGGGAAATTCATTTCCTGGAGTTCATTCCTCAAAAAAAGAAAAAACCAACAAATAAATGAACTCACACTTCATCTCAAAACCCTAGAAAAGGAAGAGCAAAACAACAGCAAATGTAGTAGAAGACAAGAAATAATTAAAATCAGAGTGGAAATCAACGAAATTGAAACAAAAAAAAACATTGAAAAATTGATAAAACTAAAAGTTGGTTCTTTGAAAAAATAAATAAGATCGACAGACCCTTAGCCATGCTAACAAAGAGAAGAAGAGAGAGAATTCAAATTACTAACATACGGGATGAAAAATGCAATATCACAACAGACACCACAGAAATACAGAAGATAATTAGAAAGTGTTTTGAAACCCTATATTCCAATAAAATAGAAGATAGTGAAGATATCGATAAATTTCTTAAGTCATATGATCTGCCCAGATTGAGTCAGGAAGACACACACAATTTAAACAGACCAATAACAAAGGAAGAAATAGAAGAAGCCATCAAAAGACTACCAACCAAGAAAAGCCCTGGACCAGATGGGTATACAGCGGAGTTTTACAAAACCTTCAAAGAAGAATTAATACCAATACTTTTCAAGCTATTTCAAGAAATAGAAAAAGAAGGAGCTCTTCCAAATTCATTCTATGAGGCCAACATCACCCTGATCTCGAAACCAGACAAAGACACTTCAAAGAAAGAAAAATACAGACCAATATCTCTAATGAACTTGGATGCAAAATTTCTCAATAAAATCCTGGTGAATCGAATACAAAAGCATATCAAAAAAATTGTGCACCATGATCAAGTAGGATTCATCCCTGGGATGCAAGGTTGGTTCAATATACGGAAATCAATAAATGTTATTCACCAGATCAATAGACTTAAAGATAAGAACCATATGATCATCTCGATAGATGCAGAAAAAGCATTTGACAAATTACAGCATCCCTTTATGTTCAAAACTCTAGAAAAACTAGGGATAACAGGAACATACCTCAATATTGTAAAAGCAATCTATGCTAAGCCTCAGGCTAGCATCATTCTGAATGGAGAAAAACTGAAGGCATTCCCTCTAAAAATCTGGAACAAGACAGGGATGCCCTCTCTCTCCACTTCTGTTCAACATAGTTCTCGAAACACTGGCCAGAGCAATTAGACAGACGAAAGAAATTAAAGGCATCAAAATAGGAAAAGAAGAACTTAAATTATCACTATTTGCAGATGATATGATTCTATACCTAGCAGACCCAAAAGGCTCTACAAAGAAACTATTAGAGCTAATAAATGAATTCAGCAAAGTGGCAGGATATAAAATCAACACGCATAAATCAAAGGCATTCCTGTATATCAGCAACAAAACTTCTGAAATGGAAATGAGGAAAACCACTCCATTCACAATATCCTCAAAAAAAAAAATAAAATACTTGGGAATCAACCTAACAAAAGAGGTGAAAGACTTATACAATGAAAACTACAGAACCCTAAAGAGAGAAATAGAAGATCTTAGAAGATGGAAAAATATACCCTGTTCATGGATAGGCAGAACTAACATCATTAAAATGGCGATATTACCAAAAGTTCTCTACAGGTTTAATGCGATGCCAATCAAAATCCCAATGGCATTTCTTGTAGAAATAGATAGCAATCATGAAATTCATATGGAAAAACAAAAGACCCAGAATAGCTAAAGCAATTCTAAGCAGGAAGTGTGAATCTGGAGGTATAGCGATACCAGATTTCAAACTGTACTACAGAGCAATAGTAACAAAAACAGCATGGTACTGGTACCAAAACAGGCAGGTGGACCAATGGTACAGAATAGAGGACACAGAGAACAATCCACAAAATTACAACTTTCTTATATTTGATAAAGGGGCTAAAAGCATGCAATGGAGGAAGGATAGCATCTTCAACAAATGGTGCTGAGAAAACTGGAAATCCGTATGCAACAAAATGAAGCTGAACCCCTTTCTCT